GCACATTTTACAAAATCTGAAGGCCATCACGTATTCATAAGGGCCCGCCACTGAAACCTCTCATCAGCAAGATGAATCCAGTCAGCAACATTCTTTAAGACACGGCACAGTTTCATGTCATCCTCCCATACAGTACATTTGTAATACAAGGTCATTCGTCTCCCCATTTTCTTCCGTCCAACCTGTCATTTTCGTTACTAAGAGACATAATATACAATGCATGAAGTCATTGTCCAAAAGGATTTCGTCGTTAAGGAACCACATACGGTTTAATACGTGTAACGATTAATTTTTGATTTTGTACCTGTGTACAACATTTAACCTACGTTTAATGTTGCAGTGATGGGTGGCTGTTGACGTTGGTTTGTTTTATTGGAACACTTGAGTAAATCGTAATACAATGGAATTGCATGAAACCCTCTTTAGCTCCTGAGATTTCTCAGCGACTTTATCATCCCTTAACAATTTTGTTTGTTTTAAAAAAGTTGCTGTAAAAATTTAATGACAATAAAAATGTATTGTTGTAGTAGAAGCCGAAGGTTCGACGTCGCTTATAACAACTCTGGACATAAGACAGACCGTGAGCCATTCCATTTAGTTCCCATCTACACAGTTTACTCATTAGATTATCTTAACCCTTTACCGCCCAGTGGTATCTACATGTATCCCCTTCATTAACGATTAGTATCTCTACATTTTTTTATTTAGGGCTCAAGATATTTCTTTAAATAGCGTTAACCAGTTGATACGCGATGTTTTCTTTGACCGACTTCTCAAATATTTACTCGTGCTTTGATTCAAAGAGTTCTTTTCGGTCTTCAAAGTGACCGCTTTCTAATAGATGTGTCTCCCCACCAATAATTCTGCAAGCATTCGCTTTTAGCTACTACATTTCTACACCGTTAGCAATACCGAATCACGAAGTTCCTCGAAGGTTAGAAAGTCCAGTCAGTTTTTCAAGAAGAAAGATGCATTTAGATTTTAAATACTAAGAACACAAGAAACCACCGAACGTTTGCAACATGTGCATGGAATTATTGACGTCCTGGTGTGTGTGTTGTTACGACTGTATTCTGAAATCCAACTTGCAAACATGCAAGAATATGTAACGTGTCCCCTTTGGGCCATCTTTAGAACACTGAAATGATATCATTGTGTGTCATACTGAGACAAGGATGTGGTGTTTGCCTTTGTGCACAAGTTTTTGTCATTTCCATAACACTTCCGGTACATAACGGTCTCTTATGAGGCACCCGCGGAAAAGATGGCCTACCTATGACAAATGTGAACACAGCTACCGAAGAATACAGGCTGCTTGAAAAAAATATTGTTTTGCTGACAAATGCACAGTTGTTTAAAACATTAAGCCATTCACACAGCAAGAATAACTATTTTCGAAGAAACAATAAACGCCTCAAGAAAATCAGCAGCAATAGAACTGTGAATTAAATAACAAGTTTTAAAAATAAAAATATTAAATTTGAACGGCAGTGATCAATTTTAACATTAAACAAAAGAAATGTCCTTTTTACTTTTTTACTTATAAAATATGAATTATTTTCGGAAAACTTTACTTTACTTTTTACTTATTTTTAACGTGTAAGAAAATACACTGCAATTATGTAACCTATTGTAACACAAGAACTTATATAATGGGTAAATTGGAGAAGTGGCAATCCAAAACACAGCAATTCAGTGGCAAAAAAGAGTTTTTGTATAAAACAATCCTAATGTGACCTATAGTCGAAACATGTTATTATGATTGTAATACACTATCGTACTATAGGTATACAGTGCTATAGACGGTATCAAAATATAGCAATCGTAAGAGACGCACAATGGGAAGCTAAGTACAAGTTTGGAGCACTACAGTTTTTTCTCAAAATTAAATCCGAGTACAAAAAATAACTCACAAGGCAAAACATATACCCTGTTAGAACCCACAAAGGTTTGTAAAATTAAATCGATACTGCGTGTAATTATCGAAGTGTTGCGTGCGATGTATGCTATATGCTTAGCAGCAACATGCAATAAGTGAACCTGGAGACCAGTTCGATAAGCAAATCCGCAAACAACACAAACCATCCCAAATTAAAGTTCCCTGTTTTTGTTGCCCGTGAAAATGAGACAGATCGCTGTGTTTACGAGCGGATAGGCCAGATAACAGAAGCTCCCCGGATCCAGCAGGAAGCGTGCTATTCATTTATTTGGATTAGGACTTACAAAGAAAACGCAAATTGGGGGTCTGTTATGTAACATGAAAGGTGGTGCCAGTATCAGAAGAGATAAGGGTCTGAGTCACATGCAGCGATCTTCAGACTTTACTTAGAGAACAGACCCTGAGCAAAGTACAAAGTACAGCTTTTTGTAGGTCGTAACTCTACCAAAGAGGATATTTAAAAATGGTACGAAACCATCGGATTTGTTGTTTTTACACCCAAGGATTTAAAGAAAGGAGGCAATAAAGAGATGAATAAATTAATATAAGGTGATGTGACGCAATTACTTTACACGGAATGGCACAGGGTTAAAGTAAATGGTCAGCAAGAACTTATACACAGGGACTTTGTAATCAAAATATGGCAGCTTTTAAGAGACTTCAGGTTCTCATGGCGCGGCGTTGAAGTTGTTCCTCTGGGTAGTAACGGCGTGTGTACTTGCAGATAGGTACCAACGTTTCGGAGAAAAATACCACCTCCGTCTTCAGGGTTTGGTAATAACGCCGTGTGGACTTGTTGGTAGAGACAATAACAACGTTTCTGAAGAAGATAAAGCCTCCAGGACTTCAATCCTGAAAATGGATGCAGTATGATCCTCAGAAACGTTAGTTAGTACAAGTCCGCATGACATTATTAGACCCCTGAAGACGGATGTGGTATTTTTCTCCGAAACACTAGCAATTGTTTGCAAATCCACGCAGTGTCAGTAACCTGAAGAAGGAGGTAGTATGTTAATTCGAAACACGAATATTTGCCTACAATTCCACTACCAAGAAGACCATCATCGACAATGTGGTATCTTTTGAACAGTTCGTTCTTCATGTCCGCACAAGTTTTGTTTATGGCACCGGCACTGATAAAACGACACAGTGCTTTGAGAATATTCTTCATTTATGTCACTTTTAACACAGTATTCATCACTTTTATCGTCGTATTCCGTCATGGATTAGACACGCTGCATCGTTCCTCCCCGTAATTAATTATGAGATAATGAATAATGTCGTAGAACCTCTTGGGTAGAAGATCAGCTCCTCATTCTCCTGTTACCCTTCATCATAACTTGGCTCGCAGAAATTACACTAAAAGGCCACTGTAGTTGGAAGATTCGAACTCATACTTCGAAGTCTGGACCTTGCCACTTGGCAGTAACACACTAACATGGCGGTCGAATAAGTAGTTCCTTAGCTCGAACGTCTAAATCTTCTAACGAGAGATGTTATTTTAAGGACAAGATTGGAGAAAACTGCATAATGATGAGCTTAAAAATCTGTACTCCTCCCCCAGCATTGTCAGGGTGATTAAGTCGAGAAGAATGAGATGGGCGGGGCATGTAGCGCGCATGGATGGGACAAGAGGTGTGCACCGGGTACTGGTTGGGAAACCTGAGGGGAAGATACCGCTGGGGAGACCTAGACGTAGATGGGAGGATAATGTCAGGCGGGATCTATGGAAGATAGGAGTCGAAGGAGACTGGATTTTGTTGGCCCAGGACAGGGTCCGGTGGAGGGCTTTGGTTAATTCGGTGATGAACCTTAGGGTTCGATAAGCCACCTAGTTACTTAGTTATTGTTCAACTAAATTGCATAACGTTAACAGGAGGTTTTGGTGCCCCATAGCATAAACACATCTGACCAGTATGGACCAGACCCAGCCTGTCATATGAAAAGATAGTCCAAGTAATCAGACATGAAGAATAATTGAACATGCCAACTCCATTCAGCAGAAGTAAGACTCAGTTATCTCTGCGGTTAACCACAGAACTTTGAGTTTTAACATTTTATATCATATCCGTGTTTCTGACGACTAAAGTTGACATGATTGATGCAGTGGAAAAGAAAGACATTGAAGGCGGCTGTCGTCTGGGATGTTGCACTGTGTAGTCCGGTAGATACGGCCGTTGTTTCAGAGACGCTTGATGCCTACGCCATCAAGGCGATGAAGGAAGCACCTTGAAACGTAGGTGAATATCTACCAGACTACCCGTCGCAACATCCATGAAGACAGCCAGCTTCATACTCGTCGCCTAAATCTGCTGTTGACTAGTTTTGTTAATAATATCGATCACGTTTCTTTGTGTTTCGAATTTTTTTCTCTTTTTCCGCAAGAATTTAGCAAAAGACTAATTCGATTAAATAAGATCAGAAAGTTGTCCTCCAGTTTTATATGCATTCTACAACATACATTTTAAATCTGTTTTCTGCTGTGTTGTTACTGGTCCTGATGTTATTTCAGCCATGCTGTCGTCTTATAGTGCTACAGTTAAAATACGGATAGGTAGCTGTTCTTCAGAGAAAATCGATGCCAGATACGAGCTTCAAGCAAGAATTACGTTTGGCTTATGAAAACTAACATTAAATTTTTGTAACAACTGTCAGCGTAGATCTTCTATACCGAATTGAATCGAAATCAGTTAAAACAAGTGATTGGCAATGACACGGACAGACACGATCTTCCTAAGCATAAAAATAAATAAATTGTATTTTCCTTCAATAAACGGATCAGTTAGCAATGCTAACAAACGAATTCGTTAAATCCTGTACATTTCCACTAACACTAAACCGTTCGAGCTATCGGTCCATTGACTGCAGAACTAACCAATAACAATACAGTAACTCTCCCCTCCGTCCACACAGTGAAACCCGTTATGTGAAGCCCCTTGCATGGTAAAAACTGCTTCAACCTGGCGCAGTTGTGTGCGTGCACAAAATCTCTTTACTAGGCGAGCTTTGTTATTGGTCTCAAGTTAACTAGCCTATAGACCGAAGGTCAGCAGTCCATATCATTTGCGCTCAGCTAACAGTAGACACTCTGCTGACGGAGTCGTGAGAAGGCAGGCGGAAGTTCTGTGTGGGGCGAGCTTACACTGCAGGCAGGGAGTGGCGTGTAGTGTTTACGTGTTGTATAAAGTTTGTGGTACGAGTGTATTAAGAAGTCGGAAGAATGGATTTACTTTACTAAAACTCAGGTAACAAAAGTGTCAGTTATCTTAAGTTTGTACTTCTGTGTTAGAAAGTTCTTTCTCTCAAAATAACAGCTCTACTATGTGACAAACAGGAGTAGAAGTGGGCGAAAGCCCAAGGTATTTGTAAGTACTGCAAATTTATTTTCTCCTTATATTTTTTGCTTGTTTGCCAAGCACATATACTTTCATCTGAAATCGACAACGATGAAGAAGTTATTCAGGGAGTTTTCGATAAAAACCCTGTGGAGAGTAAACGACAGTTTTTTAAAATGTCTCACATAAAATTATATTGTTGACGACAGATTGACTTTGTACTTTTTGGTCACCCCTTCTCCTGATGTCTTTCAGTAATTGAATGGCAGTTTGATTTCGTCTGCATCAATAATGACGCACTTCTCACTGTTTAACTAATGGTTTTTTATATGAGTTTGTATGTTGGTATTAAACTTATTAGTAGTTTATCAGACTGCAGATTCATCACGTCCAGTGATTGTGGGTGAAAAAGAATTGCTGCTTAAGTTACTGTAAAGTATAAACAATTTTTGTAGTTAAGATTACGGCCTAACCAAACTTTCTGGCCTTGGTGGACAATCTCTACTCAAACATGTCGTTAATACAGTAATTATCCGCGTAGGGTTTACAGCTGAAAAACCAAGACTTGCATAGCTGGTTGCATCACTGATTGAATAAGGAAACAGTAGATTACGCATGTGCACAGAGAATTTTCGACCACTTTGTATAACCCTAAAATTTGTGTGTTGGTAACACCATAAATTAATAATATCGTCTTCGGCACAGGTAACGCTTCCGAAGATACGTATTCACGAAGGAATAAAGGGACGCAGGAGAATCTGTTTCGTCTTGCGTAGCGACGGCAGTTGAAGGAACCATGGATCTGGACAAGGTGATGGACGAAGTGGGGCACTTTGGGAAGTTTCAGGGTCTCTGTTACTTCCTCTTAAGTTTCTCCATATTCTACGCTGCAATTGCTGGACTAAGCTACGCTTTCACGACAGCAAATGTTAAATACAGGTAAGCACATCATGTTGTTTAACGATGTTGTATCATCTGCCGAGTTTATTTAAATGGTACAATGGATAGGAGTTTTAGAATCACATGGATGGAATCAACTGTAACCTCTTCTAAAAACAAAAAGTCTGTGAATCTACTCATAGCCAAAGTCCACCATGCTTTCCTATCAATGAGCCGTTCGTTTGATGTCGAAAAAATTGAAATTAAGTTCTGACGGTGGCGACTCTAATAGCAAGAAATTCAAACGAAGTCATGGTGGCACCGATTGTGGGGATTGGCGGTTCACAAGACCCCCACCTGTGGATCACTTGAAAAAATAATTTAAGCAAAACAATAAAGTGATAATTCCATGCGTAAAAAGAGAAACGTCTCGCAAATTATTTTTAACAGCGTAGTTTTGCTCTCAATATATGGCCTTCGTTGACGATGCTTTTTAATTTCAATTACAACTCTGACTGGACCCAATACTGAAGTTTACTAACCAGTTAACGTTCCCGCCAGAGTTCGACGGCCTGTTTAACACCTGCAGAAGGAATGGCCTGGCAGCTGATGGTTAGCCAGCTCGTAGCAGTCGTCTCAAATTGCATGCAGCTGATCAAACAATTCTCGATTTTATGGAACCCGAATATTAAGTGCCGTGTTCACAAGGACAGACATTGGATCCTATTGTAAACCAGCCGGAGTCCATGCTTTCACAACCTATTTA